GTCTTGCTGTCACCCAGGCTGGAGTGCAGTGGCGATCTCCGCTCACTGCAACCTCTGCCTCCCAGGTTCAAGTGATTCTCCTGCCTCAGCCTCCCGAGTAACTGGCCTCCTAACTGGGATTAACTCCTGGCCTCAGGTGATCCACCCACCTCAGCCTCCCAAAGTGCTGGGATTACAGGCATGAGCCACGGAGACTGGCCCGGAAATTTAGCATTCTTGTAGGCAGTGAGATTCTATTTAACCCTCGAAAAATTTACCTGAAAACATCCTTCCCTTATCTTTTTTTTTTTTTTTTCCTTTGTTGAGACAGAGTCTCGCTCTGTTGCCCAGGCTGGAGTGCAGTGGCACGATCTCAGCTCACTGCAACCTCCGCCTCCCCGGTTCAAGCAATTCTCCTGCCTCAGCCTCCCGAGTAGCTGGGACTACAGCCGTGCACCACCACACCCAGCTAACATCCTTCCCATTTCTAAGGTCTGATTTGCTTTCTCCTCCCAAGCTCCTAGCTGCTCAGTTAACTAACTTCAGCAGGTTCCATTCATAAAATAATTTAGCTGAGGGAGATGTCTAAAAAAGAACACCGAGCACTTTTTCCCCATTTTCCCTCATTCCCCACAACCACTCACCATGGCCACAACCGGCCCCGAGTTCATGTACTTCACCAGCCCAGGGAAGAACGGGCGGTCTTTCAGGTCAACGTAGTGCTGCTTCAGGTGTTCCTCAGAGGCCTGGCATTGGAGAGGACGCGCCAGTTAGGAGCTAAGCTGGAAAGACTCCATCCCATCCTCTGAACCTCCCATTAGCAAGTCCGGTTTTATGTTCTAGCCCACGTTCATAAGCGGTGTGTGGAAATATATACATACTCACACAAATATTTTTTAAATCCCATCCAAACCATGAAACTAATGTCATTTTAACAGAAAGACTGTTCTTTTTTGCTGTGTTGTTTTGGTTTGTTTTAGGAGACAGGGTCTCCCTCTCATCACCCCGGCAGCGGTGCATGGCTCACTGCAGCCTCAACTTCCAGGGCTCAAGTGATTTTCCCACCTCAGCCTCCCAAACAGCTGGAACTACAGAGGCCCCCAACCATGCCCAGTTAATTTTTCTTTTTTTTTCTTTTTTTGTAGAGACAAGGGCTTGCTATGTGGCTCAGGCTGATCTCCAACTCCTGGGCTCCACCCACCTCGGCCTCCTAAATTGCTGGGATTATAGGCGTGAGCCCCGCGCCTGGCCAAGACTGTTCTAATCGTAAAGACACCCTTATACTGTCAATGACATTAGGGGTTTTGTAATCCTAAGAAGTAGGTGGTTTGAAGATCTAGATTTAGGGAATTAAATTTTAGCTGCAACTGAAGTACATATGTCAGGTCACATGCCAGGCAGAGGTCACATTAAACTCCCCTGGGCTACTCACAATGCCCTTTTAAATATTTCAGATGGTAACTGAGAACATTCTCTTCACCGATGAGCCTGGTTGAATTTCAGTACTTAGATACTTATCCCTAAGTGTAGGGATTCAGATCTGTGCCCCAAATTTAATGTGGAAAATATAGTTCCTACCCTATGCTAAAGGAGGAGCACCGCACTGGAATTCGGAGTTTCAGACTAAAGCAAAGGACATTCTAAGACTCCATTCCGTGCCTAGGTGGACCCGCGTGGGCAGGCGCAGGGGGTCTGGGGCACGGGGTTTCTCCACTCCCTGCTGCCTCCCTGCGGCCGGTGGGCAGGTGGCGGCCCGCGAGAAGGAAGCCAGACCCGGAGGGCGAGTCACGCTACCCGCGCTTCACCTTCCCAAGGGCGTCTGTCCCCACCGCCCCGGGAAATGGTCGGCGGGCCAGAGCCGCCGTGGGCGGGGGCAGAGGGCAAAGGGATTCTCGCGGCCGCGAAATGGACTCGGAAAGGAAACGCGGACAAACCGCCGCCGGGAGGGAAAAACACCCGCGAGCCGGCTGCAGCAGGGGAAGGGGAGACCGGGGCGAGTTACCCGGAGGAACTTCATGGCCACGAGGCGGAACCCCTTCTGCTCGAAGCGCTTGATGATCTCGCCCACCAGGCCGCGCTGCACGCCGTCCGGCTTGATGGCGATGAAGGTGCGCTCGAGGTTGGCCATGGTCCTGCGAGGCGAGAGGTGCGGTCAGGGTCCGGGAGGAGGCCACGTGGGCGCCGCCGGGCCCGCCTCCCCCACCACGCGCGGCCGCGGGGACACGTGGCTTCCCGGGTGCTTCCGCCCCGCGCAGGGCCGGCGTCACTCTGCGGAGTCCGAAGGCCCGCGGGGCGCAAGCGGCAAAGGAATCTCCCGCTCCAACCCCGCGCGAGACCTGCGGGAAATCGGGGGGCGCCCACAGACCGGGCCCACCTGCGGCCGCGCAAGCGGAAGAGGGAGCCGGAGGAGTCGCCAAGGGATGTGCCCCACCGCCTTACCGGGAAGCTGGAGGGGCCGGGTGGCGGCGCTGCGCTGCGAGAGCAGAGAGCTGAAGCGACCACCACACCCGAGAGCCGGCAGCGGAGGAGGGGCGGGGGGCGGAGCGCGACGTGGCCACACCCCGGAGGACCTAGCTTCTCACCCCGCAGGAACGCCCCACCGGCCTGGCCCGACGGGGCCCGAGAACCGTGCCCACGCCCAGCCGGGGCGCGCCCTCGCCGGGCAGTGGTCGAAACGAATCGAGAGACAGGAATTGATTCCTTCTCCACCTGGACGTCCTATGAGTTGAACTACGCACGTCCCAAATCCCACTCCTCACCTCTCAGTACTTCCCGTGACCCCAAAAGCTCCTACACACACACACAGAACCTGCTTCTGTGCTCGAGTTCTCTACCCCGTCAAGGCCATCTGCTGCTTTCACCATCCGCCCGAGCACTGGCATTAACCTTGACTTGACTCTCCCTCCCCGCCGTGTACCCACAGGCCTTCTCCCTACCTCTGAAATCCAGCCTTCCCTCCCCTCTGCTTGAGCCCTGGTTAAGCCTCGGCCTCCCAATGGGCCTCGATCTTACCTCTGCCGGCCTCGATCTCACCTCTCCCCGCAAACTGGAAGCCTCGCTCAGCACCTGAGACGACCATCTGGTCCTGCCCCTGCCCTGCCTTGATGACTCCCCCTCCTACAGGATGGCGTTCAGACTCCTTAGCGAGATGCTCTTTTCGCAGGATGCCCTGCTGCCTGGCTGCCGTCTCCCCACCTACATTTCCAGCCCCAATCAGCTGCCCCCTCCCACCCTAAGATAGGGATCCCTGCCCACCTGGCACTAAAGTGCAGTCGAGCTTTCCAGTTCACCCTGAGGCGCGCCCCTGGACCCTGAGGAAAGTCTAGACCGTGTCATAGAGATCAGGCCTGTCATCGACCTGTACACACTTCCTATTTGCAGTGTGTAAACTGCAAACAAGCTCCCTTTGGTGATGCCCAACTTCCCTGGGGTGGTCACGAGCCCCTCTCAGCGCCTGCAGCACTGACTGACAGCCGCACAGCAGTGGTACTGCCCTGACATGGTGGGCGCCGCTTGCTTCCCCTCAGGACTCTGAGCTGACCACAGCAATCATGCCATCACCCGAGTGCCCCTACCACTGCGCTGATTACCTGTCACTGGCCAGATAGATGACAACCTGGCCTCTGTTACACCTTATCTGCTTTCCAAAATTCTAGTTACAGAGCATTAGCCCACCAGACATTGACAATGACTGTCATGTGCCCTCATTTGGGGGCACTGTATTTTTTGGCTTCAATCTGAAGCACACCCTCATTTGGATTACCAAATGTCAACTGTGGAAACAGCTCTGGAAATTTCACGGACTTTTCTCTGTCCAGGGGAGAGCTATCTGCCCCTTGGTCAGGTCACTGATGGCTACTTAGGGTACAGTCAGGACCACCCCTCTGCTTTCACCTCTTCTTTCCTTCCTGGGAAGACTGTCCTTAACTGGGGAGGCTGTAACCCTCCAGCTTCACTACACACATGTTCATTCCCCAAGTCCTGGTATGCTCATCTCACACCCCAAAACAAACAGGCCACACTTTGTGTAAAATATTAATAGAAATTCAGGCCAGGTGGAGTGGCTCACACCTGTAATCCCAGCACTTTGAGAGGCCGAGGCGGGTGGATCACGGGGTCAGGTGTTCGAGACAAGCCTGAACAACATGGTGAAACCCCGTCTCCACTAAAAATACAAAAATCAGCCGGGCATAGTGGCGCATGCCTGTAATCCCAGCTACTCAGGAGGCTGAGGCAGGAGAATCACTTGAACCCAGGAGGCAAAGGTTGCAGTTAACTGAGATCGTGCCACTGCACTCCAGCCTGGGCAACAGAATGAGAGTCCATCTCAAAAATTAAAAAAAAAAAAAAAATCATCTCGCCCTCATCTGTCCATAAAGGCAGCCCACCCCAACTATCCTCTTCTCCCCGCTCCTGAGAAGTCCCTTCCCCTCTATTGCCTCTACCGAAGCCAGATGAACAGGAAAGATAAGAAAACCCTCAGCAGGCAGGCGCAGTGGCTCACACCTGTAATCCCAGCACTTTGGGAGGCTGAGACAGGTGGATCATCTGAGGTCAAGACCAGCCTGACCAACATGGTGAAAACCCGTCTCTATTAAAAATACAAAAATTAGCCGGGAACGGTGGCACACGCCTGTAATCCCAGCTACTCTGGAGGCTGAGGCAGGAGAATCGCTTGAACCCAGGAGGCGGAGGTTGCAGTTAGCCAAGATCGCACCATTACACTCCAGCCTGGGCGACAAGAGCGAGACTTCATCTCAAAAAAAAAAAAAGAAAGAAAGAAAAACCCTCAGGCTGGGCACGATGGCCCACGCCTATAAGCCCAGAACTTTGGGAGGCCCAGGCAGGCAGATCCCTTGAGCCCAGCAGTTGGAGACCAGCCTGGGAAACATGACGAAACCCCATCTCTACAGAAAATACAAACATTAGCTGGGCGTGGTGGCATGTGCCTGTAGTCCCAATTACTCCAGAGGCTAAGGTAGGAGATCACTTGGGCCCAGAGAGGTCGAGGCTGCAGTGAGCTGCTGTGATCACACCACTGCACTGCATCCTAGGCGACAGAGTGAGACCCCGTCTCAAAAGAAAAAAAAATTTTCAGTTTCCCTTGCGGCTAGATGCAGCCATATGCCTAAGTTCTAGCCAATGGGATGTAAGAGGAAGTGGAGGTTGTAATTCAGAGATGTCTCTTTAAAAGGGATACTTCTTCCACTTCCTTTCCCAACTTGCAGGAACATGGGGTGGTAATCCAAGTAGGACTGATTAGAAGGAACCAGGTGTGTGTAGACCACCTTAAAGATCAGAGCCTTACCACTATGACCACCTCTACTGAGTAGTTAGGGCTTTTTTTTGAAGACAGGTCTCACTGTGTCCCCCAGGCTGAAGGACAGAGGTGGGATCACAGCTCACTGCTCCAACCTCTGGGGCTCAAGCAATCCTCCTACCTCAGCCTCCTGAGTAGCTAGGACTATAGGAATGTGCCACCACACCCGACTAATTTTTAATGTTTGGAAGAGATGAGGTCTCACTCTGTTCCCCAGGCTAGTCTCAAACTCCTGGGCTCAAGCAATCCTCCTGCCTTGGCCTCCCAAAGTGCTGGGATTATAGGCATGAGCCACTGTCCAAAGTGCTGGGATTATAGGCATGAGCCACCGCACCCGACTACACTTGAACTTTCAAATGAAAGAGAAGTACATTTCTATCTTGTCTCCATTAAAGCAACCAAATCAATATCCTAACAAATCAAAGCTACTTACAAGACCTCCTGCTTCATTTGAGGCCATCCCAGGGACCCAGGCCTACTGTCTACCTAGCTTTTCTGATTTTCAGAGGAATTACAACTTCCCACACTCCCCCATTCACTGAATCCCCAAGAGCTTCTCAAGAACAGGATGGATATGTTTTTATTTAAGAGACTGGTCCCACTCTGTCACCCAGGCTGAAGTACAGTAGCATGATCATGGTTCACTGCAGCCTTGAACTCCCGGGCACAATCCTCCTGCCTATTATGCCTTCCCCATAGGTAGAACTAGAGGTGTACAGTACCAGAGCTAATTTTTCTTTTTTTTTTGTAAAGTCAGTGTCTTGCTATGTTGCCCACGCTGGACTTGTACTGGCCTCTAGCGATTCTTCCCCTCAGCCTCCTGAATAGCTGGAATTAAAGGCATGAGTCATTGTACCCAGCCTAATTTTTTTTTTTTTAGTGAGACAGGGTCTTGCTCTGTTACCCAGGCTAGTCTCCCACCTCAGCCTCCCAAGTAGCTAGTATCACAAGCACAAGCCAGCACACCCAGCCCTCATGTATAATTTCTGATGAATCCTCTGCACCTAGTCCAGTCTTGGCCATGTAGCAGATGCTCCATAGATGCCTGTTGAGTAGCTCCGTGCCAAGAGTGGAAGGGACGCAGGGGTTAAGAAGGGCAGGCAAAGAATGCCTGTGTGTATATGAGATCTCAATATAAATAATTTTTATAGTATTTACATTCTCTGTTAGGTCAGGTTATTCAGTGTACATGAAAAGAAGAAAAAAAAATACAACAATACAAAGTAACCAACTCAATGAATCCTACGTTGGGAGGAAGCATTTTAATCAGATGGTAGGGGATGGTAACACTGTACAGGGAGCACTCACAGCTCCAAGAGCTTCCTTCCAAATTATGACGAAGTTCCTTTAAATAACTAGATTTCCTAGAGCCTGGTCCTCTGCCCATGGGAAGGAGGAGAAATGGATGTGAAAGCATTGCGGCCTGCTCTCCTGTCATTCATAGATCCAGTTCTGAGCACAGCTCATGTAATCTACCAGTTCCTCAGGGTGAAACCACAAGCCGATCTCCTTCTCTGCACTCTCCACGGAATCACTGCCATGTATAATGTTCCTGGGTGGAGAAAGAGACAGTCACATGACCAAGACCAGAAGGATTAAAATGCGCCCATTGCCAGAAATCTACAGCCACAGCAGCATAAAAGCTGAAGCTCCATGGACATTAGACCATGTTAAAAGAAAAAGCCTACAATGGCCATTCATGTAAGGGTGAAAAATGCCCTCCCCACGTTCAGCCCTCCCGGTCACACTGGTGCAAACAGTAAGAGCCTTCAGGAAAGACTGTGGCCAGCAAAGTGTGTTGTACCAGGTTCCACACTTCATGTAACGGAGGTACAACTACAGTGATTTTAAAAACCAAAGCCAAACGCCAACTTAAGGGGGAGGAAAACAATAAACTCCAATAAAATCAACCTGCATATGGTATCATGTCTACCTCCAGCCTCAGAAACCCAAATCCTTGTGGCAACTAAATCAGATTTTGGAAAAGGGGGAAAAAGAGCAGAATCTCACCTGCCAACTTGTATGCAGAAGTCGCCACGGATGGTCCCAGGCTTGGAGTCCGCAGGGTTGGTCTCCCCGAGCATGACTCGGCCTGTCTTCACCACATTCAGCCCCTCCCAGACCTCCAAGGACAGAAGAAGATATGGTCAAAGAAGAAAACCCATCTCAGCAGAAAATCTGGCAACTATTAATCCAAAACTAGGAAAAAATAAAAAAGGCCCCTTAACATGACATTCATTCACTGAACAAATATTTAGAGTATCCACTTATTCCAGCACTAGGGATCCTGGTCTCCCTGCCCTGATGCTTGCCTTTCTACAATGTACTCTCCATTCAGCAACCAG